TAATTCAGGATTTTAACCCGATGACTACTAGTATAAACGACAGACGGGAAGCGCCTTGTTACGTGAGCGAAACTGTCTTTGAGTAGAAAAAAAAAAAATTAATCCCTGTTCTGGGTTTGCAACCTGTTTACCATCTGTTCCCAAACCCCAAAACGCATCTTCTATACAAATCGATAATTTGATATAATTTGATTCTCTAAAATGAGAGCTTGATTGAGAGCTATTACACCCAAGAATCCTTTCATAATGTTCCCAACAAAGTGATTAACTAAAAAAAAAAAATCAGCGAAATAAAGATAACATATATTAATAAAGGAAAAATAATCTCTGATGATCTCACAGCGTTTTTCATTAGTGAGATCGATAATAATGATAGTCAGATGAAATTACTGGGTGAAATTAGAATTGTAAAATATAAAAGTAAAATATTTGTCTCGAGGTATTTCACGACAGGTGAAAATTACGTGTAATTTCAAAACAATAACAAGAGGTTTATTGGTAATTGATACATCGCCTGGAGATATGGAGATTCGATCCACTGCATCAGGGTTTAGTCAGGGTTTTTAGTCAGGTGATATGGACCTGATCAGAACATGATCTGGAGTCGCTTGGAGTTTTTTGGGGCTCGATCCACCCGATCACGTTCTCATAAAAAATGACTCCATCAGTCACCCCTCAAAAAATAAAATAAAATACCGAGTGTACTGATAATCAAATCAATTATTCCTCCTCACGAAATGATTACTCAGTCATTCCAAATGATCATGCACGATGTAATGCCATTCCATTATTCCTCCCACGTATCAAAAAGCCAATCAATTATTGATATTGCGAATAATCTCGTTTGAACTGTTGGAAAAAAATCAAAATTTATTACCAATCAATGTTCAGATTCATTGGAAAGATCAAACGATACGATGGGTGTTCATTCGTCTGCGAAATCATGGATATCGCGTGGAGAAAACGTTCAAGTGGAAAATATCGGTACCGACTGCTCCGATTAAAATCTAGATGGAATATCCATGCCCATTTTTTTACAACAGTAAAAAACAAAGCGATTGCGGGATTTAAAAAAATGTCAAATCTTTCCCATAAACTCCACTCGAATCCTAAATTCAAACAAATTGGACCTCCACATAGGGATAAACCCATGTAACCCCCTGCGACACCCATATGATTCTCTCATGATCCCCATACAGCCGTTGCTTCCTAACATTTCAGTCTCGGGGGTACGGATTCGACGAAATTAAATGATCGGAGAGACCCCCTCCATGGCGCAGCCCAAAAAAAAAAAATCTCTCTTCCTGAACCAAGTGAGAAAATTGTCGGGTAAATTCAATTTTCATTTTTTTTCTTTTTTCTTTTTCTTTTTTTTTCTTTTTCCCCCAATCCTTCATTATTAAATAATCCCAATTTTTTAAACATAATTATATTAAACCAAAAATCATTATCCGAAATAATAATTTATTGATTTTTTAGTAATAAAAAAAAATAGAATATGTTTTTTTTTTATTTGTTAAAAAATATTATTTTATTGGTGGAGTTGAAAAAAATGTTTACATTGTTGTGATAAAAAAAAGGCTAAAAGTATTTAAAGTAGCTCGATCCTTTACAGTGCCGATACCCTCGATTTACTGCGCATGTTTGGTGCGCAGAGGGGTACATGTATTAACACATTTACACAGTCGGAAGGAGGGGGAATGAATTTCCCCGACTGAAACCGAGGGAAGGGGAAATAGCGGGGAGCCACTGTATTACTCAGACTTAAGCCTATAGAATCTCTTATATAAAAATCGAATATGATTCCACCCCATAGGTTTCATGATCTCACATGGAGCCCTACATGCACCCCAACTTCACATGTTTTATCACAGTAAAATGATTTTAAGCGCGACAATAAAGATCCACCGGTGAAGATCGGCAAAGGATATCTGAGGGTCAAGCATTCGAGATAAATCGAATAAATAAATAGAATCAGATAGCAATAATGGCGAAACAGGGCATAAAATTTATGAGAACGATCCAAAAAAATCGAAATCGAGAGTTATTCTATTGTACGGGCGTTAGATCGTTATAAAAATGGGGAGATGAATCTGCGATAACCGAAGTACGTCGTACCCCTCCGTGAAATTTTTTTTTCAAGTCGGGATTGGTCGTCCCAATCGGATGGGGCCGATGAAACCGAATTCATGCTACCGATATGTCATTGATCAAAAGCCCGAAAACGTGCTGCATATGGGATGCTGCGGAAAATTTTTATCCGAGACTCGGTGGTCGCTTTTTCATAAATTCGTCAATTCTCCGGGGACAAAAAATCAAATAGGTCACGAGCGGATCCAATACACCCGCCGATTCTCAACCGACATTGGCCCAGCTTAGGGTTGTCAAGTGTCGGTGGATGATGGGCGTTGAAAAATAGTCGGCCTTTTTTTAATTTTATCTACACCCTTCGGCTAATCCTTTCTGAAGAAAACGATAACTGCGGATAATGATGAGTGAAAAAGTCAAGCCCTCGGGGTTCTAGTCTCTGAGTTTATCGAGTATGGGCCACCGTGAACTTATCGCTTACGATAAAGTTTATCAGTATGAACAAAACAGTGTATTATTTAATTTATTACATTCCATTAATTAACAAACTGCAGATACGGTTTATCAATAGGAAAAATGGAGATTATTTTTTCCACTAGATAAACAAGATGATTCATACCCATGTCGATTTGTTAAATACTAAAATTGTATAATAAAAATAAGATTAATTTTTTTTTAATAAAAAATGAATAATAAAAAAGTTATAAAATAATAAATTTGTATGATAATCATAATAATTTTAAAATTAATAATAAAAAGTTGTTAAATAATAAATAAATTAATGATTTTAAATCAAAGTGAAACTTAAATAAATTCACCATTGAAGGAAACAATTAATTTCCTAAAAATAAATTCTCCACATTGTTCAAAATTAATTGAATAAATTTTAATTGAATAAATTTTAATTGATAAATTAATTAGCCCAAATAAATTTTTTTCTCAGATACTGTTTTCTCAGTTTTGTAATGAGACAGCCCTCATAAATAAATAAAGAAATAAGACACCCCGATGAAGTGCAAACCGAAAAATTCGGGGATAAGCGGTAGTTTGAAAGGAAGAAAATACAAGAAGGGCAACCCTTCGAGAGGAGTAACCAGGGACGCCTTTTTCCGGAGGGTATCCGGGACACATGACAGAAATAAGCGTATGAAGGGACCAGTCGATTCAAAATTGGGGCGTGAGCCACACACAAATTGCTAGGCTGCCACTCAAATTGGCCCGGCAACGAACAATCGCCTCTTATTACCTTGCATTCATCGACGCCATCATGTACGTACTCGCTGTATGTGTCTCGTGTTACTTGAGTCCTTGGTTGTGTTAGAAATTCCCAAAGAGGTGACAATTCAATGCGAAAATTTGGGGTGGGGGGGTATGGCGGATATTTTTGTCCGCGGAAAAAAATTTTCAACGAATTTTCATTTCATTGTATTTAAATATATTTAAGAAACATGACGAGACGATCAATCAATTGTTTGGTCAATCAATTCTTATTGTTAATAGGTGTCTCATAAGGCTCTGTACAAATTAATTTCAATTTTTTTCTCTCCACCTTTCCGGAAGAAATTTCAAAATGACTCTAAAAATATTCTCCAAAAAATTGAACTCTATGTACCATTTCTACTCTCGTACTTGCGGAGTACTTGTGGAAGGATCTTAACCTAAAAAATGGTTGAAGGTCATTTCGTCGAAGGTTTTGCCCTCTGGCGGTGGAATTTTTATCGAAAATTTTTTGGCGTGTGTCTGGGCGATCATTTCGCGGATTGACCCGACAGGGTCTTGACCTCTGCTGATCGAATGAGAAACATCTTTATTCAGAAAACTGTTCTTAGTTACATTATATAAGTAGATTGGGAGCTTTTCGATGGTTTAACTGTCGTGTTATTTGGATCGATAATACGGAAGTGACGTGCATGGCAACGGGTTTATATTCACGTTCTCGCGGTTCACATCATTTTCGAACTCGAAACTATCAGAATCGAGTACCAACGTTGGCACCACTGATCCCGAATCGCTAATTCAAGTTGGAGTGCTCCTACCGACGCATTGAAACGTTATGATTTGGAGAGCGGGCTTTTTAGTCAGGTGGAATCATTGATGAAAGTGCACCAAAAAATCAACTCTAGTGTAGGTCCTCCAAAAAGGCCATCATTTTTTTCCTACCTGTATCTACACCTCAATTTTTGACTAAAAATTATTTTTGAGGTTATATCTCCTGATGGAAAAATCGATTATTAAATCGATCGAGGCAGTATATCGATGTGATTTTATCATGACTCGATTGCAGTTCAAACTAATCTCGATCAATCAAGATATTCGATTGTCAATCGATTGTCAATCGATCGTCAATCGATCCTCAATCCAATAAACCGCCGATCGATCACTTGACCATCAGTCGGTAAGTCCGTCATAGAAAAAGAACAAAGAACCTGAATAAAATCCTTCATAACAACAATTGAATTTTTTATAAATAAATGCATAATCAATCGTTGGATAATTGCTAGATGAGGATGAACCCTGAACCCTGAAGATACATTTTTTATGGAAGAATTTGTCGAGGGTGACAAAAGTTATCCACTGAATTCCCGTGAATCACTCAACTCTGCAGACAACAAAGGATATAAATATTGAAGGTATGAGTTGTCAATTGAAAATCGGAAAACAATGACTCATTCACCCCAACAAAACCTGCTTGGCATCCATCAGCGTTTTCACTGAATCATAGTCTTTTCAGGAGTCCAACACAAATCTTCCAAGGATCATATCCATATATATCCTCCTCTCCATTCCCCTGTCTTTGTTCCTCTATCGGAAAATTCTTGATTGAATCAAATTCCCTGTCTCCATCCTATAAATAGCTCTCGATCAAACCCCATGCCTCGAGTTCATCAAAATCGTTTTAATTATTCACTCACCTCATGGCGAAAGTGGTTTCCAGCGTCGAATAAAGTCACATCTGCCTCATGAACACATATTTTTTTATTATTTTTACTGTTTTCACGGATATTTTTACCGATTGAAAATGAATCTGATGTGATGGTGAATCTTGTTAAGACTCGGGTGGAGAAGGTCAAATTGTTTTTTTTTCAGGGTGCTATCAGGAAGATGGCGAATTCGATGATTCACTCACGGAAATGCCGAAACTGAAAGACGTGTTGTATACTGATGGGTAGACGTATTGTTCGACCGCAGGAAACTTAACCTCGGGTTTCGGTTGTATTTCTCATTTTGTTTACGTGATTTGTTTACCCCATCGACTCATCGACGATTCACTGCCGTTCTCTGTCTTGTACTTCGGGACGTCAATCTTAGATAAGCGATAAACTTTCCGTTTGGCCGTTGCTCCTTCCATGTCCACATGCTGAAATGAAAATATACAGGGTGTTCCATAACATGGAGCTCAATTGAATAGTGCCCCTCAAGCACTACTGATTGAAAAATTATAATAATGAGAGTCGTTAACCATTACCGAATCGTCCTGAATTAGGAGCAATTAAATATTCGTTAATAATTACTGAACCATTCGGTTGAACGTTGGCATGCTCGGTCAAATGACCATTCGGTAATAGTTACTGAATCATTAATTGACCGGAAAAACAGATTGCTCGCTCATGATTAATCATGATTTGGAATAATATAAAAAATAAAGTAGACTGTGGACAGTATCGTAATGATCCTCACGATAAGAATTTCATTTAAGTGCAGATTAGAAGGATCGAATTCCAGTGCATGAAACACTTGTTTAAGGTTATGACTCTTGATAATTAATTCACACAAAACAATCAAACCAAAAGTCATTACTAAATCCTTCATTTTTGATGAGTGATTTAAAATCGCTTTAGAGTGCACCTCATTCTGATAAAAATGATAATTGAATTGAATGTAGGCGGATGTAGCCGATGATTTTGAATAGACGATATAAACAAGTGGGCGGGTTCCATCAATCGAGATTCGACCAACTATTACCGAATACTCGCGAGTGTCATCAAAACAAAACCGTTGTATTCCTACAATTGAATACAAAATCATACTTTATTGAATGAATAATATTTACAGTCACCTCGAACGAATACGTATTTAATCCAAGCCAATCGAAAAGAAGTGGAACTCATTAGGTAACACCAATTGGCTTGAATCAGGGTTGAGGCGAGGTTGCAAATGAAAAAATGATTAGACTGAATTTTCTTCTGTTTTTATTCTCACTTGGTGGCATGTTTTATGGGAATGAGTCCCTGTATGCAGCCCATAGGTGCATTGTGCACTCGGTCAAAGTTGCCTGCCGGAACTAGCCCCGAAGACTGCAGATAACGCCACCTCGACGAACTGCTTCTGCTTTCGTATAAACTAAAAAGATACCATCTTTACTGGTGGTCCTCCAATAAAGAACAGGAAGTCCTGGCAAATAACGTACGGTATACCCTTTTAACATTTTCCGGTCTTCCAACTTTCCTTGTTTCCACAAAAAATTTCATTCAAGAAACTAATCGTCACAAATGTTTCATTCTCATTTCAACTTTAAGAATAATAAGAATAAAGAATGCTAAATAATTCATAATGAAGATGCGGTTTGTTCGTCGCTTTTTATTTATCATAATTACAAAAAAAAAACAATCAAAAAGATTTTTTTAATGATATAATTAAAATTTTGAAATATAATGCATAAATTTGGGATTGAATTCGTCGAGGAATTGAGAAGATTTTTTTGGTGATTAGAGGGTTTAATTAATGAGTGGATGATTGACATTTTTATTTTTATTTTTTATGAGTTATTATTGAAGGGACTTATATCCAGTTAAATGTCATAGGAATTTTTTTTTTTTTGCGGGCTATAGGAGAGGCTTCATATACTATCCCACCCTCGCCCCTTTTATCGCCTCCTGAATATTTATGTTCAGTGGTTTCTTATAAAATAGGAAGATTGTAGTTGTAAAGATCAAAAGGCGTTGAAAGTGAGAAGGAAATAATCAATGAAGTGATGATGCCTGCGTAATGGCCATTTTTTTCAACCAATGGAAATGCACATCCTTTTTTTTTTTTATTTTTCCCATTGGCAATTCTAATTTATCATATTTTATTACTCGTAAAAACAACTCTCACAATTTCCAATATTTTTTCAACGAGAACTTTTTCCAGCAATCGCTATTCCTTATCGTTAAATAAATTGCACGGAATTCGAAATTATTTGATTCGTTCTGTTAAGTGATAAAAATCTAAACAACTTTTTTTCTTTGTCTGCCGCTTACTCTAAAGAACATTCAGGAAAAGTTTAAAGCACTTCAGAAAGTTTTTGAGAGAGAGATAATTGGATTTGGAATTAACAGTGGCGGCAAGAGGAGAAAGTGATAAAAAAAAAATTGTGGAGAGTTAAAAAAAAATCGTTCAACATCAGCTATTTAAAAATACGGGGAATAAATATAATTTCGGGATCAAGTGCACAACGATGTAAATAAATTATTTTAGCGGTTGATATCACAAAATTTTTTTCGTAAACTCAAAAATTATGGGACATTTTTTAATAACAAGTTGTTCTTGAATAAAAATTTTATTTAATCCGGACGGAACGACCGATAAATTTTATTCGAAACCCGTTAATCCCCATTTTTCATTTCTCCACGGATGCGTGTTGTGGCGACATGGGGGTTCCCGGAAATCCACTCTTCTGTCGTATTTCATTTCTTTAAATAATTCTATTATATATGTGACATTCCACCGAATAAGGAACCACTTGTGCGTGCCTAGATTACGGAATCACTCGAAGCTTCATTGGTTTATAAAATTCAAAAAGGTCCCATTGTATCGTTTTAATCCACCGCGAGAAATATTCAGTAAAAATGACGAAACGATTCACATAATCGAAAACGAGAAATCGTGTTCCAGGAGTTTTGCAGGAATAAAAGAAAATTAATCTGAAGTGTAAGAATAAAATAAAAAATATAAAATTGATATTCATTCCAAAAGGTTCGGCACCATTTCTTTTCGTACGCGATCGATTCCCAGAGAGTAGAACGAGATCTCATAAAAATTTCAAGGGAATCCGAATCGCACTAGATTTTCTCCATTAAAAATTGTTTTCCACCGATAAATCCTTGACGATCGGCAGAATCCGTCCAAAAATTATTAATAATTAATGGCACCATCTGCCATCCGCTGCCTCAAATTCACACATGAGATGATTAATTATGAATAATCAATTCGTTTTTTTAATTAAAAAATTCCCATTTTGCGCGGATGATTTCAAAATGACGTAAGTAGTTTTTATCGGGGAATTAATTATTCTCTCGGTGGGCGACCCTCGAAATTAAAGATGTAAAGAATCTGCGACTATTGGAAATGGCCGGAGGATTCCTCTGATTCATCGTGGGGAGCACCATCTGGAACATATTATGGTGATATATTCTTTTCTGATATATGAATACCACGTGGTGATTACCGACCCTTCCCTGGATTCATCAATCATCATCGATATCATCGACTTGATAGGTGAAGAACTAATCGATTTATTCCTCATAAATTATAATATTAATAAATATGTTATCTAAATCGCCGAGCCAACGATTTTTGTTTATTTACCTGAGAGGCGAATCTATTTCTTCGGTTAATATTTATTTCTATTTGTTTTTTCATTATTATTTCGATTCAGATTAATTCTGCAATTGAGTAATTTACGGATGATTACGATTAGATTTATTGTGATGATTTTATCATGATGATACGGAAATGATAATTACACTGAGAGAAAAATTTAGTAAAATATAATAAAACCGTTAATTCAAAAAAAAAATTATCGAACCTCATCCATTAAACAAAATCAAATATAATCGAAATACTACACTGAGAAAAAAAATTATTTTTACCAAAAATATCTTCTTCCTACCAGAAACTCTGACGATCACTGTGTAAATACTCCCATAAGTCTTACTAATGCCAAATATATTTTTTTGTGGTTAGTAAATATTCTTGGCTAAAGAAAAAAAAAAGAAAAAAAAAGGAAAATATTTTTCTGAGTGTAAAGTTTTTTTTTTCAATTCCCAAAATTTTTTTTTCGTCGCACCTGACGTATCATTAACGTAACCCTTCCGATGAGACTATATTATTTACATATCACATTAAAATCTAAAAATAAAAAGGGCAGAAGTGCAGAAGTGCAGAAGTGTAAAATTGCTGATCCATCATGAGCCACTCGAAGTAACCCAAAAATATTGAAAGTATTTGGACATGTCACGAGAACCCCATCAAGCGGATATTGCACAGAGGGTGCATCAGAGACGAGGCCTCACCCTTTTAAAATTTTTTACGACCTGAAATTCAACCCCATTGCCACATTTATCTCACCTCCCGCATCTTCGGATATTCCACCTATCCCTTTTAGATACTCGAGGCTAAAAAAGAAGGTACGTATGTACGTTCTTAAACATTCCTGTATACCTGGGCTTAAACCTTCCTGAGGGAAGAGAGAGGTGAAAGAAAAGAGCGGCCACCATCTGGCGACTAAAACCTTTTTTTTTTCTCTCCTCCATCACTATAGTCTCCCTCTTTGCCTTCGCCTCAATATAATCCCTCAGACGTTTTCCCAATCTTGTAAACTTCCATCTACATCACATACCCATGGTCCATTCATCGCGTCCCAATGTATATAGTTAAATCGAATTTAAGATCTACGTACCTATACGTTACGCGCATTACCCAGAATGTACATGAGAGACGGGTGGTCGTCTTTGTGACCAATTTCCTATCACCATCTTGCTCTTCTTGGCATTATCTTCCCGGCGATGGAACTCTTCTCGCAAATCTGTGATGAAAAGACACCCCGGGAAAATCCGAGAGGATTACTTCCCATCCTTTTCAGGGACTCAAAGAGACGACCCTCACTGGGGCGATCACATTTTTTTTTTCTCTTCTTCTTTTTTGAATAATCGAAAAATTCTATTTTCACGGCCCTCAGTGATCAATCCACTGGCGTCTCATCATTCCTCAACTGTTATCGCAATAGTCGGATTCAATTTCCCTGTGGTGAAGGGGTGAGTTTAAAAAAGGGGGTGGCTGTCCCAGTTGTTTAAATCTCTCGGTAACGAAAACCTTTTTTTTTGTGCGCACATGTTCATTGTCTGGAGGTTATCTCGGGTAATGGAAGATTAATGTTCTAACTCAAGTTTTTATGAAGGAAAATATTTGAAAATATTATTGGAGAAATTAATTTTTTTTTTCTTTGAAAATATCCTTAAATAATAATAACAATAAGCAAGTAGAAAAAATATGCATAATATATATTACCTCCTCGATTTTCATGTTACCCTGATACTTTTTTGAAAATTCCGAATTTTTCAATTTCAGTGAATACCTCTTCGATTTTCATGTTCCCCTGATACTTTTTCAAAAATTTCGAATTTTCAAATTTCAGTGAATACCTCTTCAATTTTCATGTTCCCCTGATACTTTTTTCAAAAATTTTGAATTTTCAAATTTCAGCGAGTACCTCTTCGATTTTCATGTTCTCTTGATACTTTTTCAAAAATTTTGAATTTTCGAATTTCAGTGAATACCTCTTCAATTTTCATGTTCCCCTGATACTTTTTTCAAAAATTTTGACTTTTCAAATTTCAGCGAGTACCTCTTCGATTTTCATGATCTCCTGATACTTTTTTGAAAATTCCGAATTTTTCAATTCCAGTGAATACCTCTTCAATTTTCATGTTCCCTAATACTTTTTCAAAAATTTCGAATTATCGAATTTCACGAATACCTCTTCGATTTCCCTAATATTAAAAATTCCGCGAAAAAAACGTCTATCTCATTTATAATTCGTGAATGATATCCTCGAACTCTTCCAAAGTGAACACCGATGTCGACAAAAAAAAAAATGTTCATCGTCCAGGAACTGATCCATGCACAACGCCCACGAGTACTTTCACAAGTGACCAACACCATTGAATCGTGGAAACTCAGTATAATACGACCACCACCCAGCAACCGTATATAACAATAAATATAGGAGCAATGAAGGTTATAACTTCTTCGTACGTACGATGTCCTTTAGCGATCTCCATCATGAAATTCCGTACACCGCATCCCTTTACCGCCAACTCTCTCACCTCTCCTCTTAGTGAACAATGGAAAATTTTGTTTGGGTTAGGCCACTGGGTGCTGTGGGCAGCATTGAACATTAAAATAAGTCCACGAAACCACTTCACCGCGGATATACGAATATAGGTACGTGTTATATGGTATATACAGCTGTATGTGTTAACGTTGAATGGAAAGGCCATCGCCCGAAGGTCCGCAATTTACTGAGCTATCATCCATGCGTATGCAGATGTAACGAGCTAACGTCGGGTACCAGAAAGGCACAAGAACATTTTGCGGTATTCTCTTTATCCACCCTTTCCTGTTCCGCGTATTCTTTCCTCGTACCTTTTATTCTCCTTTAGTATAAACAGAAGTATCATTGTTCAATTTATCATTTTACTCTTTTATTGATGCTACCTTTTTTCAACTCGCAATCATTTTTTCCGTTCTAGCTTCATCCAGATTATTATTAGCATTATGGATTAAATAGGATAATAAAATTGATTGTTCAGAATTTTTAACAATAAATTGATTATTAATTAATTTATTAATTAATTTATTATTAATTATTCCAACAGTCGAGATCTAACAAAAAATGGAGATGTATCTTCAAAAATTTGGGGGTGAATTAAAAATTTTTTATTCAGATTTTTAATTCACTATTGCAATTGGTAATTACAGTTTTATTTGAGAATCCAGGAATTATTTCTGGACTTTGGCCAACCGCAGTGTTTAATTGTTCTGAAGTTAATGGAAAGGTAATTATCACGTGGAATTTCCACCCCTATAGTGTTTCCCGAAGAAATTTCAAACCAAATGAGCGAGTTTAAATATTGCCCAACGATTGGCTGAAATCCAGTCTCGGGAAATAATCGACCGCCTACCACTCAAGTTTCAAAATGAATTTGGTATTTTCCAGAAAGTTCCAGCAGACATAAACAAATTTATCAGGGAATACCCGAATTCAAGCTATTACGTATGAAAATTAATGCATTTTTCGTGGAGAAGTTGTATACGATGTACGATGATGAGAACTAAAACCTTTATTTTCCGTCCAAGTTTAGCAACTGTGTGAAAAGCTGACTACGATATTCCCCGAATTTTTACAGTTCCGGAGTATAATGAAAATTTTTACCGCTGACTGGAACATATGGGAAAGTGGAAAATGGAAAATAGCTGCTGTCCCTCATCGCTCTCCAATAAAATCCACGGAAGAACAATTTTTTTCATTAACCAGGAGATTTTTGGTCGTGGATTTTAGTCAGAATCATTTGAATTAGCAGCAGCTGGAGGAGGGAGACGAAGTCATTTCTTTATTACGACTTCAAGGAAAATTCTGAATGATTTATTACGGGTGAACATCAGTGGAATATTCGCTCGTTGAAGGCAGAGCAGATAAAGGCTGAAGATCGGTTCAATATGCCCCCAGTGATCATTGGGGTACCGATGAAATGAGAAACATCGGTCCAATACTTGTTTTCCAAATATGGACAAGTCCATCGTCGGCTGAGGATTGCATGCTAACCGCAACTGAATGCTTCGGCGATTTTCTATTTATTTTTAAAGTGATTCTTCAGGCCATCGAAAGATATAAATCCTGTTCTGATAACCATTGAATTCAATTATTAATAACTGACGGTTTCATCGTTTTAATTATTCGGGATCTGATGACTCGAGTCTTTTCCAGATATGAGCTCTTCAGTATTTTAACCTCGTGAAAGATCAGAGAATTAATCTCTTTGGTATTCTGGATTTTGGATTAATATTCCAGAAAAGTTATCTTGAGACTGCGGTAAAAATTACTCCTGTCATTACTCCCTAAATTAAATTCTGACAGGCATGTCTTAAAATTTTATTTAATTCCGCGCTAATTTTGGGAATAGAATAAAAAATATATTTCATTATAATATCAACCATTCTATCCACTGAAAGCTTTTATAGACTCCCGAAATCCTGGCAATTTGAAAAATAACCAAATTCTTCAGGTATTGACAATAAATTTACCAGAAAAATCATAAAAATGTATTTTCAAATGAAATGTGAATGAAATGTGATGAATCGGTAATGGCAGTCGCGAAGAAATAAAAATCCACAATCTAAAATTACCCCATAGAACACACAATTACCAAATGAATTTTCCCACGATTATTAAATTTACGTGAGAAAGGAATATTTTTTTTTCTCGACGTGCATTTCACTTGCGGAGTGATAGCATTGATAACGCGATGCGACAAAGGTAAAGTATCGAGTACAGGGAATTGTCGATTGTCAGTGGATGGTATGAAACACCTGAAGTTCATAATGTTTTCCTCTCATAAATACAGTGATACTCTTGGAGGTAAATCCCGGAGGAACACTCACGAGTCTTGCCATGGTGCGCCCTCGAGACGACCGGCGACTATCTCATGAATATCTTGCCCCTGTCGCGAACATATGGATACTTACGGGCTGGATCGTAATCCCGTTCCCCTTGCTTCTGACCCTATCTCTGTTTAAATCCTCACGACGCTAGGAAATGTTACGTGGAATCACATGTTGTGCACTATTTCAACTCTCACATCTAATTCTTTATTCTCTCTGCGATTTTATTCCCGTGGAATTAGCTAAAACGTCAAAAAGGGGAGATAATAATAATTCACTTTAGTATTCTTTAAAAATTTTAGATCAACCCAGGGATTATCGGCATTATTTTATTACCGTGGGTAGAGTAGAAAGGGCTGAACGAGTTGAATGAGTGAGGATCAGGTTTTTTTTTTGCAAAAAGGGCAGGGGCTTTTTTTTTTATTTGTTTTATTAGGTGTTGTAGGGTCGCTTGGCGGAATTGGATTAACTGTCGGCGCAATTATCTCACTACAATATGGCCGACCAGCCTCGAACCGATCTGCGCACCAAATGGCCGGTGGTCAGTCTGACTTCATATTTACTGATTATTATTCGAATAAATTATAACTCGCGGTTGCGGAATTGTAGTGTTTGTGTTTTGAATATTGAGAGATGTGTTTACCTTGGCATTTGGAGTGTTTGGTGGTGAGAGGAAAGTTCAAATGCATTTATTTATCGATGATTCGATTCATCTCGCAATCTGAATCAAAATTTTTGAGACGCTATGAATTAAATTCGAGAAATCAACCCCTTGCGCCTCGTGCCCCAGAAAAAATTCGTGATTCACAACTGGAATTGAAATTCGAACTTTAAATTAACCATGATTAACCATGATTAACTTAACCAGAAAATTCACTCTGAAATTATAACGATGATTTTTAAAATTTAAAAAACCCCGAAAACATCTTTTTTTATAATGTTGATTTTTATTTCTTAAAAAAAAGAATTTTAATTGCACTTTGTTATAAAAATAAAACTCTGACATAAATACATCATTTTTCTGATACAACCAATATTTATCGAGTTATAATGCTATAAACAATTACCTGTCACCTACAACTCCGTATATTCAATAACTATAAAAAATATTTAAAAAAATCAATTCCCCTCCAGTTACACACATGGACCTCTTCATATAAAAAAAAATCGTAGAAAAGTAGTTGTTGGGCAATTGAAGTAGTGTAGAATGCCTCTTAAATTCATCATGTAAAAATCTATAGCGGGTAATGTATAGAGGAGTTGTAGGATTTTGAGAAGCTCGCGGACCCGCTGATGTCGACACTCCCACCCCCAGGTCGTACCCCACTCTATTCACCTCGAGTCTCACCCTCATTTTCCCCCACCAGGACTTTACCATGGGTTATTCCCTTTTCACTCACGAGCAGACCCGTCGTTCTCACCCTTCTCTCCTCGTATATATACGAAATTGCTCTTCTCCCTTTTTACCCCCCACCAGAGCATCACACACACAAACCAATACACAGGATATTTTCCCCTCTCCCTTTCGGAGAAGCCCCAGTCGCCACAGAGTCGCTTCGCGTCAGTCTACCACCGAATGCGCACGCGTTCACTTTGTTTTTAATCCATTTTACCACTTCGATTTTCCTTCTCAATAAAAGTCCCTTAATTATTACTAAATTTATCACTCGATGGGTGATTAGTGCTGGTTCACGTGATCACCGTTAATGTATTGTTGTCAAAAAATTTGACAATCAATCTGGAATATTTAGGGACAAGGATTTGACATATGCGTCATTTGAGTTGAAGGGAATAGTGGCGGTGATTTGGGCGGATATTTTTATTATTTTTTTTTTTTGTCGTCTAATTTTTTATTGAGCAGTGGGTTATTCTTGGTGGTGGTGCAATGATTATTTGATCTGTTGTGATATGTGCGATATTGATTCGGAGATGTGTGATCCTACGGCACTTCTTGATCTCGTGCCGGATGAGGGATTACTCAAACGACCCTGTATGGATTACAACGAGTACACGTATTGCTACGGTGGGGGTAGAGGTTAGTCTTTAAATTCAGCAACATAACAATTTTAAGGGTCATCGACATGATATGGAAAAAGACCCAGTGGTTCTGTGACAAGTGATGATGATGTTTCATTATTATTTTTTTTAATTCAATTTTATCAAGTGCTGTGTGAAGGATTTGAATTACAAAGTGCTACGTTTCGTACGATTTTTGGAGTGGAAATCAAGAGGGCATATACTCTCGGTAGGGCACTATTATCTCGTGGCATTTTTCACCCTCACATTTTCAAATGTCACCACTCAATCTTTTATTTTTACACCCTCACCTCCCGTTTTTTTACTCAGTGCGCTTTTTACTTCTGCTGTTTTTATTTCGGTGTGAGGGCCTCATGAGTTTGGATTATCATACACAGGGGTAGTTTTGGGGTGTGATATTGCAGTTTGATGGAATAATTAACAATTGATTGACGCTCGTGTTTTGTTAATAACATTCTGAAGCGAAATGGTGAATTGGGAGGAGGCAATTTTTTTTTGCGACTGGTTTTTACACAATATCTCGGGAGTGAAGGGACACAGCGGTTTTTTTATAGAAACATTTTTTATTGAAAAATATGAGAGCTACAAAAAAGGTATCTATGAAAAAATCGTCATCTTGCTTGGATTTCGAGAAATCGGATGATAACTGGGCTGAACAAAAATGCAATTATCCTAGTTCATCATTTCGCGATAGAATTACTCCGATACAGAATAATTTGGGAATAAAATCGCAATTGACTTGTTGTAACGGTTTTTCATTTTCTTTTCATGGAGATTGATCCATCATTTCAGCTTTTCCATTTCGCCCGCAAAATGTGCACGGGATGCTCTCAGCTTTTTCTCTTTTTATTAAAATAAAAATTTCACGGTCGCCTGAAGTTCTGTTTGGATTCCTGAGAGAGCTAAAGTGACAAAAACTAAACAAGATTGATTAGAGTAAACACTCTAAGAACTTGAGGGGGTCCTTTTCGAGGGTTCTGCTTTTCTTTGGTATTTTCTCAGGGTTCGTGTTTCGATGCAAGTGACACTGTGTTCAGCTCGAGGAACGAGTGCACCTGTCGTGACAAAAATAACTGGATATCGAAAGAGAGTGGAAACTGTTTTCAAAAGCTGTAAAAATATATCTCATTAACGGAATACAGGAAATTTGTCGTTAGAATGCAACTGTGCAAACAAAAAGCCAGAGTACGACTCTAATTTTCCCTGGAACCGAAAAAAAAAGCAAAAATTATTTTCAATTTCCGTACGACTAATCGTTGGACGGATTCCTCAGTCTCAAAGATTTCACTTCTACTAGACATTTGTTATTACAGGCTGATTACTGACACGTCTATTATTATGGATAAATTACAATTATAAAATGAAAAAAAAAATTTTTTTTGAGCTAACGAATGAAATTAATTAGTAGTAGTCTATAAATGTGTGATTACGAGTGCTAAATATTGAATTGAGTAATTTGTTTGATTTAATGAATTAAAATTTCGGAGATTAATCGTGATAAGAAATTAAAATTAATCATAATCATAAGAAATTAATATGATTGAATTAAATAATCGATTTTTCTTTTTCGATTGTCTATAACTATTTCATTAATAGTATTTGATTGTTGCTAATCTAAAGCTAATCTAAAGCTAATCTAAATTGAATGAAAGCAATAATTTTTGGTGGAAAAGGCTAGATTGAGATGATTTAGCAAAATTGAAATCTGATTGTGGAAATTAAACTAAAAATATGTCGATATTACCCTGTACAGTGGATCTGATTGCTGGAAAAGTCGAATGGTTTTTCGGAGGGGCTCGGGTTTATTGAAGGAAAGAGAAAGAAGGGCAATACACACCCTCAAATGTCGGGGTAGGGCGTTAGCCCCTCACCATGAATGCTTCGTCCTCCAATCCCTATCCAATATCCGCGAGCTGCCAAATGCACAGAGCTATTTTCTTTCCTTCTTACTCACTCACTTTTCTTCCTAGGCACTCTCTTTTCTCTCTTCTCCCTTGACGACAGCCCCGCCGACGCATCGATCTTAACCTCGGCTCACCGGATTTATTTTCGGCCTCTTTTTCAACCAAACGGGAAACGAATATCTCAAAAATACCCCTATTTCAACTTTTTATCTCGAGTTAATCACGGAATTGACGCCGGATTATACTGAATACCCAATTGTCGGTGATGAATGAGACGGATGATTAATAACGGGAATCACTACCCCCTTATATGGATGGAAACTCGCAAGAATCGATATCTTGTTTTTCACATTTTCTTTTTTTTTTATCGGGATGTGAATGGGGATATCTGAAATTCAACGGTTTTTCAGGAATTTTTTTTCAGGGGACAAAACTCCCATACGGGAGAGAATTATTTCCGTGATTTTCGATTTGGAAATTTTTGCCAATTACTTTTGTAAAGTAGTTTGAGTTTTTAATTACTCCAGTTTTTAATCAACGTCGATTCAGAATCATTATTAAGTTTATAAATTTTTTATAGAATTTTGGAAAGTTGGGTTTTTTGGGGGGGATTGTAATTGATGAGTTTTTATTTGAAAATTTGGAATGGGGGATTTTCTGGGAATTAATTGAGTCGCAACTGGAGGTTTTTGTTAATTTTTTTTTATTTTTCAAAAGTATTTTTCAGTGAAACTAGTTTGTTGTGTGATTAAACCGTTATTCCATGCGATACATTATCCTGCAGCCGACATAATCCATTAATTTGACGCGTTATGAAAATCTATTATTCCACCCACATTTCCGCCAATCGCTGGCCGATCTCGTGCAAGACATGAAAATGAATTTTTTTTTCAAACCCTTTTGTGATATTTTGAAATAAACGAACTAATTTCATTCGACGAATGGAACCGCATAAATATATACGAGTTCAATGTGGGCGAATACCGTTTTGCCACTCGCAAAAAAAACCAAACGCTTTCAACTTTTCTCTCTTTTTATACAGAGTGTGGGCGAAAACGTTTTTGTCACATCGCTGCACCTTGCGGTCGCTATTATTACCATCGATTTTTTCATGGAAAGTAATTTCTTTTCCGGTTCCAACCAACCGGTTAGTGCCTTTTTTTAATTTTATCCTCCAATTTTTATTAAAATTTATCGATTTTTCAATTCGAACAGAAACAGCATTCGTCGGATGTCCAACAGAATTCCATTCAATTTTTTAAATATTTTATTAATTGAATAAAACTTTTTTCTTCCGATAACTGACCAGGCAACTCTATAATTTTTATTAAATATTTTATTAAATCGTTGTACGCGAAAACTTGTTTATGTTCCTAGGACTAATAAATCAGCAAAACTCGATTTACTTCGCTCGTTGAGACATAAATTGCTGTATGTCACGGAGTAATAATAGTATTTTTGTCACTAACTTGTCAAACGTTCTATTTGGGAAGGCCTCAGTGGCTGAGGTATTTACCCTTTGGCTGAAGTACTCGCAGTTTACTCCGAAAGCACCACGAAGTTAGCCACAAAGACCAACTCTGCGCACGCACATTATACCGTATTTTACTGTACACGCAGACCAAATCATCTGTTTTCTTTGATTATCTTGGAATATCACCCCCAAAATAATACATTAAAAGTCCCATATATAGCCAAAAAAAAGTTTTTCTATTCTTCTGGTAAATATACTGTCCATGGGAAAAAATGTACTGCTAAAAAGCCAAAATTTTCGCGGAAACAGCGGATTTAATAATGGACAGTTAATTTTTTTTGTATCAGTCATTCATTTTTCACAGCACTTCCAGTAAATTTTTTGGACTAAACCGTAATATTTGGGGTTAGATCGCAATACCCCACGTTTCCTGCGCAGTCCGGTAATTTCTCAAGCGATTCTCATACGAATTTATGGAAATTTCTCCCCCTGTGGGATTGACGTAAAAAAAAATTCATCATTTTACCTTTTATCATTATTTATCACGAATCACGAAGTTTCAAGGTAGTGGGAGTATTTTCCCGCGTTTTCTGCACTCAAAAAAATCACAAAATTGTAGAGAAAATGCATGAAATTAAATCTAAAATTATCGCACCACGAAAAACCTCGTGAGCCATTAAATAACGACAAAATGTAAAAATATAATTTTTTTTCACAGTAATTCCATCGATAATTTGAGAGCAATACGATTATCATTATTACTACCTAGATCTCCCAACGAAAAATGTATTTTCTCCGAGTGTAGTTGTCCCTCACAGTTTTCCTGAGTGAAATAATGTACGCTGGGAGAAATGGTTGTGGTAATATCTCCTGTATTGATTTTTTCTCGAGTCTACAGAAAAAGAAGGGCATCCTCCTTCAGAGATTATCTTCGTAATTCTCAGCTCCGGCTTGCACTCTAAAATCATAATCACTAGAAATATTTTTTTCAACAGAACGACGAGATATAGTGGTATATACTTTATTGTTTCCGATAATGATGGGGGAGAGAGAAAAAGAGGAAGAGAAGAATGAGTAGATAACACCAAATCAAAGCTTCAGTCAGCAATTGGTATAATTTAGGTTCATCTCTCAGTACATTCTCAGCTTAATCGCTCCATTAGTTCTTGGTATACATCAATTTATCAAAATTTATTGAACATTATTTTTCCTCCCCCTATTTCGTGATAAGAATCACGGAAATCGGGTGAATGCGATATTCTGACAATATCGGATACGAATGGAAAAGCACTTTTAATTCATTTCCAATCACTTATTTTCCGATCAGAAAAATTATCAATCATCGGACAATTTTTTTTCTTGCAATCGAAGTATGTATCACTATTTTTCTGAGGGGTTTTCATTCTTATATGGTCTATATCATATCAGAGGTCAACCAGGTCTCCACAATGGGATTGTGACTCAATCTATTGATCCGGACATTTCTGATTCTGAAACCATTTCATCAACGGGGGATAAGAAAAATATCCATTTAGGTAGTGCAGGTGTACGAACCGTGAGAAATCCTCAGAAAAATAGTAAAGCATACCATTTATAAATTTCTGTTTGAAAATCATTTTTTTTTCCCTATCTACATTTTTTTTTAAATTTATTTATTCATCTTTTTGTTCACTCTCTTGGTGAAAGAAAAAAAGTGACAATTAAGAATGCAATAATTTTTTATTTAATTCTCCATTATTTTTATTTGAAATTTGATTTCCAAATTTCAATATGTATCATGTAGATACATGTTACACTCGAGTCCACAGCATTAGAATTAGAAGGGCCCAAGTTTCTTCTTTCAACTTCCAATTAAACTCGTTTCACTCTTTGTCCCGTTTTTCGCGATGCTGTAGTCTCTTGACCCCCTTTGTATATGTTTTCATTTTTATTTTAAGATTTTTCTCTCTAATGATATCCCCTCCACGGGAAAGAGCGAAACGTACACTAGAGTCGAGGCTTCACTCACTTGAAGATGATAATTTCTTAACGAGACGTTTATACAAGTGTTGATAAAAAAAAATGAGAAAGAGGGAGAGAACTATCTCGTAAATTTGCACTTTAGGGCCCATGACCTTGATGTTTCAACAAAATATAATTATAAACAATCGGTTTTGTAAAAAATCTGCAGCTAATTTTGAAAATATCCGAGAGTTTTCAATTTAATTAACAGACTGGACGAATTAAAAAAGGATTTTTTTTTTCGGCACTCTAATTGGTTATTTATCTTCATTACCACAACCGATAATTGTTCCAATAATAACATTCTGTCGGTTGATTCAATTCTGGAATAATTGGAGGATTTGATAAAAAATTGAAATAATAAAAATAAACCAGTGGCCAGAAACGAGATCAGAGTTCACGATTTTTAATTCAATGACTGGATTGAGTTTCCCACTGAAAAAACATTGACGACTAAAAAGTTTTGAAACCAAGATTTATTTAGTGAGGACTCCACAATGACGATTTGTCCAACGGACAGGAAACTAAGAAAGGGAAGATTAAATTTATCTTTCTAGCCACATCGTTTACGATTCTCAATCCCCACGTACAAATTTTTTTCATTCACGAATGCCCATACGTACAAGTAAGCGACTAAAGTGATACCGTGATTGGTTACTGGTAAATTTGATCAACACATCTTCATACATCAGACGGGGAAAAAAAAAATATTGTTATTCCACGTGCGTACGCGGGCAATCGGTCACGTCTCGTAGAAGTTGATTGTCAAGGTAGTGTGATGCCGAGCCCTTGGATTTTCCCCGAAGACTGAAGGGACACTCTCCAACAACCAAAGAACACTCGACCTTCTCATTCATCTCTATCTGCAATAAATTCCATTCGGCATGGGCTCTTGGCACTGGATATTGTGTTACATTATTCCTTTACTGACGTGTTGTGAATGGGTGTGCGCATCCATTACGCGGCCGGGTGCAACAACAAGACTCCTCTTTCAAGAGTGAAAAGAAAAAAGGACAATGAGATGGAGAGACCGAAAAACGCATTGAGCTGAACGAAACCAACCAACCGGGGATAATTCGGCGCGAGAGTGATGCGCCCGGTTATCGTCTTTTGTGAAGTGCACTGGGTGCTTTAATGGTTTCCTCAGAGGTGCCCCGACCTGAAAACTTGAGAATCAACCTTCAAGTGTTAATGTCACCGATGATTTTGCGTTTGCCAGACCGATCCTTTGCCCGAACAAAATTCATCATCCGGGTGACAACACTAGACGATGCTCATTCATTTTCATAATTTTATTAAAATTCGTTTTAATAATTTTAATTAATATTTTTACGGAACAAGTCTTGCCCATGAAATCAGCTGAAATCTTACTATCGACTGGTTGATTTGTGGGGGATTCCCATTTATTTGAAAGGCCGGGATCTACTGCGCACCTTGTGCGCCGAATTTGAATTTCCCGGCTCGAGTGGACCAATAGGGAATCGGTATTGATAAGGACTAGGTCCCAGATGTGTGCAGTTGCGCATGCTCATGAGGAATTGGCGGTTTAACACTGAAAATCAATCATAATATCATTAAATTGAGTTATTTTATTTTTCCACCATTTTAATTCTTAGAAAGACGGTCCATAAAATGGCGGGAGGATTGAGGAACTACTCTTTGATTAAAATTTTGTTTGATTTTCTTCAACTTTTAATAGGATTACAGAAGAAAATAAATTGAGATTGAAGATTGAAAAAAAATTGACTGATCGGAATTGGAGCAAATGAAAAATCCCGTGTTTTTTAAATGTAGGGGGACGTCACCAATCGGATTCCGTTTCAAGATTGGAGATATCTTTTATAGAACAGAAAATAATGCCGCCTGTGAAAAATGACTGGTGCTCCGATTCTCTCGAGAACTATTAGCTCCAAGAATTGTTCAGGTCGAGCTATTCATCAACAAAATCTAGGGTCTTTTCTGCCGTCTCATGAGAAAACCAGGTGTTTACTCATATTTAGAATTTCACTCGTATAAAAACAGAATGGCGCATGAATTTCCGAGAATTTGTACAGATTTTACATGAATAATTATCAAACAGAATACCGACCTGGAAGACAATTTCTCGGATCATTAACCAGAGAAAATAGTTAGAAAGAAATGATATTTCCGTGGTATCCTATTCTAAAAGGGACACGCTTGACACAATCGATTATCTCGAAAATCTCGAAATCATGAAGCCACAATTCCTTATTGGTCCGTTTAAAATGGCGCGAGATTACAAAGTTGTAACAGATTTTTACAGAAATCGTTTCATATCCGCGCGCTGGCGCGCGGTACGGATTCTCGTCGAATAAATCGAAGGTCTTCTTTGCGATATCATAAAAATATATTATTGATGTGCAAATAAATTTGTGAATAAATTCTCCCAAAATCAAGAAGCAATGCGGTACAAACTCGTAAACTCTGGTCCACACTATGTTTTCTAACAACCATCAATTCTCACAGCAATTCGAATTTGATGCATAGCTGGTATACGTGATTCCGAACAACTTCCAAATAAGTTAACTCTCGTTTCGCGTATATTGTGTTCTTTCTTCCATATAACTTTTTTACTCCTGTCTTTTTTAGAGATAGACTACTCACGAGAGAATTTATTGGGGCAGGCAATAAAAAATGGGTGAATCAAACCATTAATTTTTATTTCTCATTATTACATGCGATAACTCAAAAAAAAAAAAAATTATTTACATTCGATGAAATTATCAATATGAATTATCAACTTTTAAATTCTAATTAAAAAATGTTAATTTTTTATTAATGATATTGTAAGAATTTAATGATCTAGTGGTAGGGTAATAATTTCATAGGGAAATGGGAGATATTGCGGTAATTTTTGATGCAATACAACTTGGAAAATCGGCACAGGCCGATTTTTATTCCAAGAACTCGTGTCCTTTGAGATGCTGAACACATGACAAGAGAATAAAAAGAAGTATCGACTTCCACTCGACGACAAAGGAGAAACCGTAGCGAATTGCTGCGCGCTTCTGCATTTTGTCGACGTTACAATGCACTCTCGTCTGACAATCGGAGAAGTAATGGGAGGGAGTACTACACCACCCGCGTCGAAACCACTTGAGACCCCAGATAGTTTTTGAAATTTTACTGTCCCCGAGACTTGAGGGGCCCCGACTGTTGACTCTTGTCCTAAACTGCCAAAGGCATTAAACAGCAAACAATAATTGAGGGACTCCAATATACAGAATTCTTCTAGACACTCGACGGAAAATTTCCGAGTCTGAGATATTCCTCTCGACTGCAAGGCAAAACTCATGCTATTACCTCGTGGCTTTGTCCTGTGTCCGAATACCGGAGATTTTCCTCTTTTTTTTTCGTTTGAAATTAATTCAAGAGGCGGAGGATCCTTGGGATTTCAGATAATAGGATGGAACTTTACAACTCGGATTATTATATTACAAATATTTTTTTCTACTGCTTCTCACGATTTCTTGTCTGGAAATTGGTATTGGATTGTTCAACTCGAAACTTGAAAAACGCTGGGGAAATGTATCTCGGCTCTTCCGATGGAGCTATTTTTATTCACCTTTCGGAGTCGAACGAATTCCAAGACTGAGGAACCCCTTCATAACCGACCGGAAATACACTATTCTTTTTTCAAGAATTGTTTCACTTTTAGAAGATACTTTCAGAATTCTACAGAAATTATCCGACAACTCGTTCGTCATGAGTTCCGGAGAAGATTTGTCAGAATTTTTTGGGAGTAATAAATAATTACATCCAATTGTTCACTCATCATTATTATTAGTTAGTGAATTAAATTATTGGAAGAATTATATTTATAGTAATAGTAGAGAAATATTTTGTGTTTACCGATTTGTCGATTTATCCCACGAGTCTAATTTCGTCTTTTTGATTGTGGAAATTGACGATGTAATTAATTAATGTTTGATGTTTGATTGCAGGGTGTTTATTGGATAATACGGCACCTAGGGGTCCACCCGATGTGCCCCCTCGTAATCCTACAATGAGCAGACTGAATGGAAGACCCCCAGGAAGTCACGCAGCAAGTGAACACGAGCATGATCCGGACCTGGAGCCTTCGTGTCTTGTACGCACTCCATCGGGTAACTTCTACAATATAAGTAAGTACATAAATTCAAAATCCCATACTCTGACAGAAATATTCACAAAAAATTACTGGTCTCGTATTAGTAAAGGGATATTGCACTGTACTGATGAAAAGTCATGGGAAATTCATAAAAAATCACTGCAGCTCCCGAATTTTTCCCAAAGTTCATTCAATGTCGTAAAATGTACTGCTAAAAAGCTGTACTGCTGAAATATTCTCGGAAGCAGCGGATTTAATAATGATTAATTTTTTTTTCGTATCAGTCATTCATTTTTCACAGAACTTCCAGTCAATTTTACTGGGCTGTTCATTACTTTAATTTTACTGGACTAAACCGTAATATTTAAGGTTAGATCGCAATGCTCCACGCTTCTGCGCACTTCGGTAATTTTTAAAGTGATTCATGTCCGAATTTTTTATGGAAATTTCTCCAGTAAATAGTTAGCCAGAATTCCTTGGCTAATGGCGTATTAACTCGACTAGTAATCTGATCCGATGAAAGTTTCGGGGCTAGTAAGGAATACCGGACTCCATCTTCAGAGTTAGTTCGACTGACCGAATTTGGCCCTGAGGGGCGTTACCCGTTTTTGACACTTGGGTCGAATGATGACTGTTTGCATCGTGGGAGGCGAATCCTAATAATGAATTTATTATCGATGATCGATGATTTAATGCCGGGAAATAAATTTAACGGACTGAAAACGACCGAAGGTCAAACCCTTAATTAACTATCCGATAATTATTGTCATTGGTGTAATTAAAAATTCAAATACCTCTCATTTTCCAAATTCGGGGGATCATTAGATTTTTTGACGACTTTGCGAGCAGAATGACGATGATGGGTCAAACGGGCAAGACAAAAAGAAGCTTGAGGTCAAATAGGACAATGAAGGTCAAACCGAGAAAATAATTCGATATCTACGGGTCGAGTGCAGAGGACAAAATAAATCCTAAGGTCAAATACGTGCTTTGTAATTTTTAAAAGTTTTAGTCTTGTCTTGCTGAATCTGATGGGAATAATATTGAAACTGATCGCCAATCTGAGGGAACGATCGAAAGGATCAAATGGAAAAGTTATTGTAACCGATAGCTCGATAGTTATAAGAATGGGGGGATAAATCTCTGATAAGGAAAGTGGTCTTTCCCCTCTTGAAATTTTTTAACAGTTGGTTTTGGTTTATCGAGTCAGATGGTTATGAGGGCTGGAGACTGTGAGACCGATGCCTGCTACAGATATGTCATGGTTGAAAGAATCGAATACGGGCCACATATGGCTCGCCGTAATCGGCATGCCGAACTTGAATCTCTGTTTGGGCTGAGCACGGCTCTAATTAGATTCGGCATGCCGTACAAAATTGCTCCTCGGGGTGGTACGATGGTGCGAACCGCAATCGCCGTGATCCTTGACGGGTCGAACCGACAACTTTTCGAACGATCTCTCGTTCTCTTGATTCCGTTCCGTTCGAGCTATTCCACGAAACTCATTCACTGCACGGTACCTCAACAATTTCAACCTTAAAAATTGTGGGAATCGTTTTGGTGGTTGTGAATTACGAGGGATAAACTTTCGTTTGAGGGTCAGTCTGGGTGGAATTCAGGGGTTCAGATCTCATTTTCAAGTGATTGAGAATCGATGTCTCATATTTTTTACATACCATTTTTGAATTTTCGATATTTTTCCCGCTTTTCGTCCTCTCCGCGATTTCCGCGATTATATTTCGCGTTTTCACGAATTTCTTAATCTTTAACATTTTTCAAATTAATTTTTTCAAATGTTGGAATTACTTTCGACGTTAAGGCCAACAAGTGATCCGTTGTAACCGGTCACAGGGAATAATAAAAACACTTGGGCTGTTTATGACGTCATAGACAATGGGCCTTGTTTGATGAAATTGAAGAAATTTCAAAGGAAGTCCACCTTTTTTTAGTGAACCACCTGAACAAATTAGATGGTGATATTTAGACAGAAATTCATTCATATTTTAGTTATGTTTCGTGACGACCGCCTGGTAGGCGACACCAATTAGTATACGGAGAGGATGGAATGAGGAATGAAGAGAGTATTAGTCATCAGTCGCCCCTAGTGTCGGTCTTTTGATTTTTTAAAGTTAGTCACCGAGATATGGTTTTCCAAGTGTGAGTCAATGGAGACGAGGGTTCAACCTAATGTAATATTCATACTATTATTATTTCAATATTATTCATAATTTTCAATAGATCAAAATTTTCTTTTGCCCCGAGTCACGTCGAGATGGTGCGCCACCCATTTTGTTGAGTCCAATAAAAATATCGGGATGTAAATACTGGGATAAGAATTCAGTTGATGTTATCGAGATGAAGGAGTAACTGAGTATTCGTTAATAGTTACAGAGGGATTGAGTTGAGTCATGATGTGATATTGTGTTCGTACAAGAGATTGTACTTCATTGAATGAATATTTATAATTAGATACTTCAATTCATCGTGTAACATTAACTGTTTTGGAAATTTGGAGTGCTGGATAAAAACAATTGGTTGAGGTTTTTCTTTATTTGAAATTATTGATAAGAAACTTAAAAATTTATTTTAAAAAATATTTTTCATGACTTTTTTGCGATTGGGAGCAAGTTTGGTCGACAAATAAAAATTGATATTAATATCATAAATTTTCTAATACATTCCGTAATTAATCGGATGTGGCGCCATAAAATTTACGAAACAGCACTATAAAATTTGAAGGTCTATCATTTTTTATTTGAGTATGAAAGAACAATCGATATAAATCCTTTAAAAATTTCTATCCAAATCGGTATTTTTTACAGTTCTCTATTTAAATTTTTACTGTGCTACACAGCATTTCCTTCAAACATTTTCTAACCCAAAATAATTACTTGGCGATGATCACCGAACATCTCCGATTCTTGCCGAAGTTGAACTTAATGATGGTAACTACTGTAACGACCTTGAATTTTTACTTGGTCGATAAAAGCGTTTTCCTAGTCTGATAAAGAAATTTTCGCAGTTTACCCGAGATTGTAATACAGGGCAGTAATTTTTATCGGAATGACACTATAAAAATTCATAGATTTTTCTCTCTGTGTAAGTGAATGAGTACAAGAATCATCAATTGTAACAATGAGAATTCCGTAGAATCGAAAATTTTAACAGTAGAACAATAAAGAAATCCCTTGGTCCGTACTATCCTTTGACGACTTTGATGAGGGTGCGTTTCCGAAGTGAATTGGTGGGCGTGCATCGTGTACGGAATTTCAAGCGGCTCCAGAACTCGCTTTTTATCTCTAACTTGGATATATGACCAACCCAGAAAGTCTTCACGGGCCCCCCAGCCTCTTTCGCTCCCTCTTTTTTCTTTTATCCCCCAGCTTCATTTTATCATCCTGTATTTTATTTTATGCCGATGAAACATCGGTCCTCGGGTACCGTAACTCCATTACTATATTTCTTGGCATCCCATTCTTTTATCTCCCACAAATTTTCTTATTTCCATCAAAATATTTACAATTAACAATGAAATATTTTTTTATCCACTAACTTGGGGCTCTACATTTATTATTTCTCCGTCGTTAGGTTTTTCCTTTTTGAGATAAGGAATGGTATCTGGAGAATTCCAGAGTAAATGGACTGTGAAAATAAGTGGAAAAGTCGAGTTTATAGTCACGGCATACTCGAAAAACTGCCAGAATGCAACATCTGTACATCTCCTTAAGAATGTCGACACAAAAAGGTGCCGTACACAAAATGATTTACGATCCCCTCTTCAAACTTATTCACTCATAGTTTTGATGTTACCTGACGCATAATGCTCCACCTACAGAGTGCGTCTAATATATTCACAAAAAAAAAGGTACAAGATGAGGGCAGTTTATGGTTAAATGGTAGGCGTCAAGAAGAGGAGTTTTCCTCCGCGAAAGAACTTTCTGGTCCTTCACAATGCACGGAAATTATGAATGAGATGTGGATTACGAAGGAACAAAATCACTTCTCGCCTTCATGTTATTCTATTTTTTTTTTGTTATTTTTATAGTCCTAGGACTGATTAGATCATTCAGACACTTCCGTAATATTTGTAGGTGATTTATTGTTAATTAGATTCTTGTACTTTCGTATTAGTACATGAAATAACTTTGAAAATTCGAAGCCTCGGCATCTGTTTCAAATTTCAAACTTGATACAATAGCGACAAGGTTTCTCAGGTTTTGGATTTGGGGTCTTTAAACACATGGGCTTTTGGGTTGGGTTCCTTCTGGGATCAGCAGACCATTAACAATCTGAAATAAATTATTAACGCCTGGCCAACCGTTGCAAATAGTTTTCCCATGGCGTACACTCATTTTTTTAAATGAATTTCGTTATTTTTACTCTAGCTTTATTTTTTTACACTCACTTGAGGAACGAAAGAGGAAGATTGCGAGGTCTTGTGGAATCGAATTAGAAGGGTCGCACCCTGAAACACCGAGACTGTAATTGTCGGCCATTAAATAATTTATGGTATTTACCGGTACTCCACCTAGGTCAAAAACCAGAGACAATACTTGGTCGTGTGCATAAAGAAAAAATAAATATTTTCGCCGGGGATTCATTTACTTGAGACAGACATATATTTTCATAATCATAAAAGTCTTATTTCCGTTAATAATTATAGGTAATAATTATAATCACAACCTTGAATGACGAGATAAAAATATTATTCTATTATTAAACAATTATATTTACTGAAAAAATTCATGGGTGGATAATAATTATTATTAATATTTAATTCTAACGATTTCTTCCCCCGGAAAAATTCGGTAATAAAAAAAAAAAGAGTGATATATGATATTTAAAAAATATGTACGGCTTTTCGTAAATTAATGCTCGACAGAAATCGTTTTTTTTTTCTCGTTTATTTCTCGCTGTATTGATTTCTGTATAAACTTAGCTAGGGGTTTGAATTTAATATTTAAAACATTTATTTGATGGATTTATTATGTTTTATTTTGTTGCAGAAACTCCGAAAAATGAATACAACAACAAGCATCAGTCAACAGGAAACAGCCCAATAAAAGTCGAACTTCAGAACAACATGGACAGGTAAGACGAATTACATCCTCCACGATCGATCACTCACAGTCGGCATGACATATTTACTCTAACCCAGATATGACAAAGAGCAAATGCAAGGGCCTATTACTGAAATTGGCACAATTATAAGAAAAAAAACATTTGTGCATTTGAAAAATTCATGAGCTCAAGTCTGAATTTTTTCCGGTGAAATGAAAAACCCATTGATGTAATTGAAAAGTCAAATGGACAATGCCTTTTTGGAGATGCGAGAGTACTAGAATTTTTTAAAGTAACACGCGACAGATTATTTAGACTCGTTCTTAGAATTTTTCGACTTGAGAACTCTTGAGGGTGCGGCTTGGTTTCCTGAATGCCCTGGGGACTGGTCTCTCGGATAATGAAAGACCCCAGTGCAGGAAGAAATATGAGACAATTTCATACGGAGAGGAAGAGAAAAAGTAGTTGAAAAAAAAATTTATCAAAAAGAACAAAAACATCATCTCTCTCTGCTATTTCTCTAGATATTTCAAAAGATTCCGAATGCATTTTTTAATACTACACCAGCAATTGCCCAAGTCGTTTTATTAATCCATCTAAATTCCTGAATTATTAACGATTTAAATTATTCATTAATATTAAATGGATTTGAGAATGGAATCATGATTCAAAATTAAATTCGGTGACTGGAATTTTTCGTGACGAAAAAAGGAATGAATATTTTATAGAACATTCATCTCTTCGACAATATCCAGTTGTTTTTCTTTCACTATTTTTTTTTTCCCATTTCTTCGGCGGTAGAAGAATGAGGAAGTCTCATTCTTCATCTTCCATCCATATTTACATGTGCCACGTCTAAGTGCTACCATCTGGGACGTCTGCGATTGAAAACGGTTTTCAAATCTCCAACTGATGCAGGGATAAATACGCCCACGTCTCTTCCAACTCGTCTAGCCAGAAAACTATAAAGATATAGGACCGTCGGGTCGACGTTTCGGTCAAACAAAATTTCTCCTCGTATTGACAAAAAAATATCATAATATGTCAAAACAGGAGAGAGAGAAAGTTCTCTGAGAAATCATCAATTACCCGTTCAATTAGAAATAAAAAAAAATTCAATCCCTTTTTAAAAAATTGGGGAATTCCACCTGAAATTCAAAAAAAAAGAATTGAAGACATTCTGTAGACGGACAGGAATATTCAACGAATATTCCACATGTTTTTAATTTTTATCTGAATTTTTCATGAAAAATTTCGACACCTGGAATTTTCTTGAATTTCCAGAATCAATCACCCGTTTTCAATTGAAATTGAATTAAACCTCGAATTCTTCACTTAAGAAAAAATATCGGAATACCCTATTACTTTTTTTATTTCAGTGTACACCCATCCACTAGTTCGTCCCGAACAAGATTCGCGTGAAATTTTAACCACTAGGGTATAGGGTCAGTCAACCATCACCCAGTAGTATCGACAAACTGTTTATGGTCAACTTCATACGGTAGTTCCACCGTCTAAACCCGCGTCTGTATCGACTAAAAAATCCAATGCACTAGTTTAAACTGCTGAACCAAAGCCATTGAAATGATTCTCTCACTCTCTGATTGGAGAAACTCATCAGACAGTTCCAACTGGTGCCACCCTAATTCAGCTAAAGACATTTTCAAATTATTCCGCAATACCACAAGTGGACCAATAAACGATTAGTAATCATCTCCGAATAATTTCTGGATTGCAGGGTACAGATACCATACGGTCACGCACCATCGATGATACCAATGAGAAGACAGAGTATTCGTTGTCATTTTCGGAAGGGCATTGACTGGTGCAGCTGGAAGCTCATCGCAATAGTCGTGATAATGGTCTCACTGTGTCTCACAGCAGCTCTGACATACGTAGCCGGTAACTATAGCCTTTTAAATAAAGAAGAAGAATTGGATTGAACCCCTTAACCAGTGCCCCCCCATAACGATACGCTGTTTTTAATTCAAGCTTCGAATATAGTGAACTGGTCGTACCAAGGCACTAAAGCCTGCACCGTCCTTGTTGGTGATAATGCTGATGGCAAGTCACCATTGGAATCCAAAAATTCATCATCAGCATCATCAACGTCGTCACCTGGCAGATCAAGGACACCGTCATCTGGAGGTAATCATCTGGATATTATCGACTTCTATAGTCGTAAACGTAGAGACACAAATCAGCATGATAGTTTGCACATTGATACTTATCGAGATCGTAATTCGGCCGGTGTTACGATGCATGATGGTGATGGTGTAGAAATAACTGGTAAACTCATAACAGTATCTGGTGCTCACGATAACGCCCCTGATTTAGCTAATTTTGGTGATGGTACTTATAGTGTTTCTGTGTCTAATCCTTACGATTTTCCTTCTTCCCACCGTTCTGCTACCACCGAACAATCACAAACCTCGAGCATTATTTCATTATCTCGAGAAACAACTAGTTACAGTTCGGAACATTCCGATGAAATTACTGAAGTAAATTCACGGATTATTGGTCAGGAAGTAACGGAAATTGGAACTGATAATGCGAGTGGAACAATTGCTCCAATTAATGGTGAAATAGCCGAGTTACCGTTGATCGGGAATAATTTTGAAAAGTTCGATGACGAGTCGCAAAAGTTGGTGAAATCAACTGATGAAGGGGAATGGGAAAGTACCCGAAGGATAACTGATGAACTTCCCCAGGAATTTTCAGCATCAACCGTTGAAGTTCCACCACCGTACGTTCATGAGTCTGAAGAGTTTCTTCAGAATGATGCAGCCCCAGGTTTGACCCCTTTGAATGAAGAAGTTGAAGTTGTGAATCTGGACAAAAGAAAATCAACAACAACCCTGAAGAAAGCGATGTACAACCCAGTGAAGCAGGACGAAAAGCAAGAAGATATCAAATCATACTTGATCACAAATGACGTGAAAAAGTCCTCCGATTATTCCAGTGATTTTTCCCACGAAGATCTCCAAGTAATAATGAAAGAAGGAAACGATGAAGACTTCTTGCACGAGTTTAACCGTCGGTTCCGTAACCACGACTCAATCGACAACGAGTTATTTCCCCCAGAGTCGCAACCAAAGAACGACGACAACACCGTGAATTCCATTGAATCGCACGACTTGATGGATCCAAACTCAATCCTAAATTCCAAAAAGCACGTGAATGCACCCACGAATCATCTGTCATTCGATCATAATCCACACCGTTTGCTCATTAACGTATCAATATCCACGGAAGATGCATTTTCATTGGCAAAACCGGTGTACGTGCTATCGGTTTCAATACCCACCGATGGAAATAATCTAACACCTAGCATAACAATTGGTGCTGATCAGGTATTGAGGACTAATGAGGCCCTGGAGATGTCACTACCACCACCACCACAACCACCAGTTCAGCCACCACCAGTCTGGGGTGGTGGTGAATGCGAGTGCTCTTGTCCCTGCATGGAGACATCTTCTGATGAGTGGGATAATTTTCCACCTGACATTCAGACGAGTGTTGATGATGATGAGGCTGTTGCTCAGGATGAATTTAAAGGGGTTGATGAGTTGGATGAGGGAACCACTGGGGCGGATACCACGGCGACTCGAGAGGTCAGTGGTACCACTACACAGGGTGAAACGACTAATGAGGGGTTCACCACTGATGCTAGTTTTTGTACTACTCCACTACCCCCAGAGCCTACTATTCTTATTCTTGAAGGTGAGGTCTGCGTTCTCACTGAATCCTTCAGCTACATTTTATATCACTAACTGCATGGGTTTGGAATTTCTGCTTTCTAACATTTTTTCGCTCTCGTAGATTGCAGATTGAGTGATCACTGGGAAATGAGTACGCATTATCATTGATTTGTCAATGATTTTGCTGTGAGAATTGGGTACAATTATGATGATGAATATATTCGTGTGAATCATTTTACAATCAGGATTAATTATGTCGATGAATGATTTGCGGAATGTTAGATAGTTCATCCCCAGAATAGGAACACAAATTCATTTGAAATTCGCTGTGAGCGCGGGAAATTAGATAAAATGGAGGATTTGCTATTTTCAATTTGTTATGTATTATTCCCGATTTCTAAATCAATTTTCTCCTCATTTATAATTCATGTTCCGAAATTATCGCTAATGATCTCAAAGGATTTCATTAGAAAATTAATTATCCGATAATTTATTTAATTAGTTTTCCCGCTACACGAACATAAATTTAATCTCATGAGTCATTAATTAATTTTTTTTTGAATTGTCTTTCTGTAAGTAATCGATTTGAGATCGATTATCAGTGATTTCACCGATGGATGAGAAAATTTCCGCAAAATTCTCAGCATTTGAATTTTTCTCATTCTCCGACTCCCGGGGAATCCCCCGTATTCATGAGAACTTTTTCTCATAGAAATTTCATACGGATTGTCAGCATTTCGGGGTTTCACGTTCGCGACTCACATCTTATGAAATGGATTTATGAAAATGACAAGTTAGAGTTTCTCTCTTCGCAGGTCGCGGCAGAGGTCGGCAATCTCATACTTCAATTAGACTATATTGCCCCAAGTCATAACTTTTATGGCGGCACGTTCTTGCCTATGAGTGGAGGCACAGGATTAGAAGAAAATTTGAAAATCTCAATTATCTCAAATGAAAATTCCTCCTGATTATATTTTCGCTATTTCAAAGAAAACATTCAAACAATTTATCGGGTACTAATTAATTCATACTAATTATTAATCAAGATACCAAATAATTACTCTCGAAAAATACAATAATTAGGTAATTCTCATTTTTTCATTCACTGGAGATTATTACATGCTTTTTTATTCCGTTGTTTAATTATTATTATTCATTATTAATTATTTATTATAAAAAAATGCAAACAATTTTTCGGGTACTAATTAATTTATCCTAATTATTAATCAAGAAACCAAATAATTACTCTCGGAAAATACGATAATTAGTGAATATTCATTTTTTCATTCATCCGAGGTTATTACATGATTTTTTATTCTCATGTTTAATTTTTATTTTTAAATATATATAATCAGGACCGACGGTAGTGGCCGTGCGGTTAGAGTGCTGGACTAGCATGCCAAGGATCCGGGTTCGATCCCGGGCACCGGCGGTCAAAAAAATATATAGCGCTCTGATCTCACGGTTCCACTGCCGAGCGGTAGTCCTGTCAAAAGGACGACTGTACCAGGGCAGGTTTTTCCCTCAGATGAGGTTTTCCCTCCCTTTCGGCAAATGCGGTACAGGGGGTTGGGGGGTGGGAAGGGAACAAATCGTAAAAACCCGAAAGGGTATACGAGTGAAAGAAAAAAATTTTTTTTTATATAATCAGGTGATGAAAACGTTAAATTGGATAATCTCAGAAATGCTTTCGCGTTGTTCAAATAAATTCATGTGTGAGCCTAGATAATTTATCTGTAAATTACGGCCCTCATGATTGGAGCAATAATGATTTTACGAATGCAGCTCCGGGCTTACCTCAGGTTACCCACCTCTGCACTGACCATGCGCAATGGCACACTTAAATGACAAGCTATTTTTCCTCACCGAAAAAGTATACACCACTCAATACCATAAATCACAATCTCCAAAACAGAGGAGCATTCAAATCAATCCGAACGAAAAAAAAAAAAATCACCGAAAATGTCGGAACAATAAATAAAAAAAAATTGAACAAATTTATTAAAGTAATTTTCATCCTATTATTTTACCCATTTACCAGGGAATTCAGTGGAAATTACCACCAGCTTCATTAATAACTTTATCTTTGCGTAATTTTTTAATTGACGGACAGGATAAAATTCCCAGAAAATTCGTAAAATTTCCAGCGAAATTGATGATTTCGGTCAGATGGGTTGGAATTTTTACTGAGTATTCGCTGCGGCTGCAGAAATAGTAATAATTGTTTGAATCATCAATAATGTGTGATGAAAATTATTCTAGGTGCAAGAACCTTTCCAGCTAGGTCATTCCCTCCAGATGGTACGACATTTGCTCAAGTCAGTCTCGGTCAACGCCTCAGTGAAGAAATACCAGCTTACAGCTACTGGAACATGCAATTTTACCAATCCGAAGCGGCCTACGTACGTTTTGATTACAATATTCCTCGGGGTGCGAGTATCGGTGTCTATGCGAGAAGAAATGCTCTACCAACACACACTCAATACGATCTTCTGGAGGTACTCAGTGGATTTAAAGCGAGGACAACTCGGGCATCACATGTTAGTGTTATTGTATGTCCAGTATTTTTATTTTTATTTGCCCCAACTCTCCACCTCTTTTTTTCCCTCGAATCCCCAATTTTAATCAAAAAATCTCATCTCATTTCAATAGTATTTATTTATAGTCCATTTATCCATTGTTTAACCAACAATCGACTAATTGCCAAAAATCCAATAAATCCGCTAATAAATAATTTAACTAATAAATTACCCGGAGAAATTTATACTTTTGCTTTTTTGTACTTTTTGCAAGGATAAAACATAAAATTGGTAATGAATTTTTTAGCCGTCGATAAAGAAAGAGGTAACTCACTACATGGAACCAGGTCACTGGTTCCTCTCCCTCTACAACGACGACGGTGATCCCCAGGAAGTCTCGTTCATAGCAGTAATTGCTGAAGACATGACTCATAATTGTCCGAACGGTTGCAGCGGCAAAGGCGAGTGTCTCCTCGGTCATTGTCAGTGTAATCCTGGTTTTGGTGGTGAAGACTGCAGTGAGAGTGTGTGCCCAGTGCTGTGTAGTCAGCGAGGTGAATACATTAATGGTGAATGCCAGTGCAATCCAGGGTGGAAAGGCAAAGAGTGCTCGCTGAGACATGACGAGTGTGAAGTACCAGACTGCAATGGCCACGGTCACTGCACCAATGGTAAATGCAACTGCGTTAGGGGATACAAGGGTAAATTCTGTGAGGAAGTCGATTGTCCCCATCCAACATGCTCTGGTCATGGATTTTGTGCTGAGGGCACTTGTATTTGCAAGAAGGGGTGGAAGGGAACGGACTGCAGTCAAATGGATAAAGAAGCACTCCAGTGTCTGCCTGATTGCAGTGGACATGGCAACTTCGATCTCGAGAGTCAGACATGTCACTGTGAGCCCATGTGGTCCGGTGATGATTGTTCTAAAGGTGAGCTTTCAACAATTTTATTAACACAAAACCTACCGCGCACTTCGTCCGCCAAATTTGAATTTCGCGGCACGACTCGACCAATGAGGAGTTACCCCTACTTGTTTCGAGATATTTCGACTCGGGCAAACTTCATTTTCGTGTTTCTACTTTCATAATAAGGATAAGGATAAGGACTACCATTTTAGCGTATATATTCTGAGTAATTCCTGTCCTATGAAAGAAAAATCAAAAAATAACATGTCGAATTTTCAAATTTTTTTTTTTCGTATTAACTCTCAATTTGCGGGACTCAATATTTTAAGAGAGAGGTTGGAACGCATTCCAGAGGAGATTATCGTTTTATCACACTTCCAAGGAAATTACCGATTTATCTATTTAGGGTCGGGAGAGTGCCTAAGACCTCGAAAAGTTTGGGATTCCCTAGATAAATATTTCGGAATGTTTGGGTAGAAATAATACAGGTACACAGGACCATCCGGAAATATCTTCGAAATTCAAAGATTATCTCTAGTTTTGAGATTCTTTTTGAGCTCTGATTGAATTCTCAAACCCACCCCAGTTAAATTGTCCTTCATGATTGAGGCCTTCACACCAATGCCTGACATTTTTTTTTCTTTTCTCCCATTCCTGTTAGAACTCTGTGATTTGGACTGTGGGCCACACGGACACTGCGTGGACAATGCTTGTGATTGCCTATCGGGTTGGTCCGGTGAGCTCTGCAATCTGAAACAGTGTGATCCACGTTGTAACGAGCATGGACAGTGCAAAAATGGTACGTGCCTGTGTGTTACTGGATGGAATGGACGTCACTGCACCATGGAGGGCTGTCCAAATTCCTGCTCGGGTCATGGACAGTGCAGGGTTAATACCGATGCTCAGTGGGAGTGTCGGTGTTACGATGGATGGGATGGAGCAGATTGCAGTGTTTTGTTGGAGCAAAATTGCAATGACGGCAAGGATAATGACAGAGGTAATTTCTACTATTTCTACTCGTGGTATAACAATAAATATTATTTCACACCACTAAATGTCTATAAACATTCTAAACTCGATGTTAATTCGAGGTGCACTATTACCCACGAAGATAAATTACTATCACTATTGTTCTATTTTGTTTATTGTTGTTCCTTCATTCGAGTTAAATCGAAGGAATTCATTCATGATCAGGTATCTCAAAATAACTCATCAAGAAGATAAATAAAAAAATGAAAATATTCTCTTTGTCACCTGCGCTCTCTTTGGAGATATTTAGGTGGATTGTTTCAAATGGAATACCCTGTATAAAATTTCAGATGGCCTCATTGATTGCGCTGATCCTGAATGCTGCGCTAATCATGCCTGCAAAGGTAGTCAGCTTTGTGTATCCGCACCTAAACCCATCGATATTCTTCTTCGTAAACAGCCGCCAGCCATAACAGCATCTTTCTTCGAGCGCATGAAATTCTTGATCGACGAGGGAAGTCTTCAGAACTACGCGCGTCAGGAAACATTCAATGAGAGGTAAGCTACTCTCGTGATTTTCACTTCAACTAATATTTGAGTGATTGAAAATTAACAATGAGCCATGATGTTGAGGTATTTACGGTGCGGTCAAGGGCGTTCAAATCATTCTGAATACATCATCGAGGGGATCGAAAATCTCCTGGAACTTGGAAAATATGTTATTTCAAATTCGGTAAAATCGACGGAACAACTCACATCGTTTGCCGGAAAGTTGGACCATAACTGGAGTTTTCAGGAGATCATATTACGTAAAAGTTTCAGGGGCTTAAGGCTATACGAGTGTTTTTAACGTTCTGTACTCGGGAAATTGAAATTACTTTTCTATAATAGCGGGTTAGGGATTGAGGTAGAAAAAATCCTTGATTTACCCCGGACTATTCTGTGCTTTCTTTTTTAATCGAAAAAAAAAAATCAGTCCATCGAATTTTCCTCGATTAAAAAATTGTTCCATTATCAACTCTCAATATTTTTCCTGGGTTAAACAAACCTAGATAAATAAATTCAGTATTTAATAATTAGTTTTTTCATTGATTATCAAGTGTAATGATAATAATTCAAATATAAACTTGTGTATATTATCGTGCTCTCCACTGAATTTACTGTGCGGATATGTGAAAATAGCATTTGATGTCTTTGGGACTGGTAAACCTTCAATTCACACTTCACGTCTTTCAATTAAGCGACGGTTGCCGGTCCGTAGGACATACAGCATTATATATCCCACGGCGATAAGTGTTTTCCGAGTATAAAGTCACATCGTTGGAAAATACTTTCATTGGTTGTGAGATAATGTAACACCTGAGGCGGTGAGTTGAGACAAAATCGTGGAACGAAAGAATTGTCCGTGAACGAAAAAAAAAAGAGAAAAAAAAAAGAAATGTAAAAGTCCTGGAAACATTATAGCCCGGAATGAAAGTCGGAACGAAAGTCGGGGGAGAATGTTTCCTCCCTAGGAACGAACGAAACTCTGGAATGAAGAGTGGTACGTTCCTAGGAACGAAACTGGTAATGAAAGTCGTAAAATGTTTCTCGCTGGGAACGAAACCTAGTCTATTCTCGAGTCGGTGAGTAACTGAGGGTATACGTTCCAATTATATATGCAACACGAGTCGAACGTATACAGCCACTTACTGATTCGAGAATAGGGTTCCAGGAATGATACTCTTGGGAATTCGATTAAAAGTACGCATGAGAGATACTGATGCTCTGTATGAGACGAGAGGAGATTTTATTCGTAACCTCAAATTTACGCATCTTGGGCGGAAAATCAACGGTTTACGCATGGGTTGACGAAAAATTTTATTTGATAAGGATTCATTTACGGAATTTGAATCGCCTTTTAAGAATACGAAATCGTTCGCACGCGCATTCATTCGAGATATTTCGAGATATTTCGAGATATTTCGATATATTTCGATATATTTCGAGATATTTCGAGATCGATTTATTTTCTACTTTTTATATTAGAATTATGTTAGGATATTAGGGTTTATTTTAATTCTGATTTTTTTTTTGAGACGCCATTTATTTAGTGTGAGCGATGAGTTCCATAAAAACCGTGGGGGTAAAAAAAATCAGTTTTTACGTGAGGAATCAAAATAATATCGCAATTTTTGAATTAATCATCATTACGGCATTCTGAGAGCCAAAAGACGTTAAATTTTAATCAATTTTGATGGAGTTTTTATGGTTTAACAGAAATTTTCTTCCGTAATATTCGAGGAAATTGGCTTTTCTCGAGTTTTTATTGATCCATCGTCTATCTCTTGTGAACCCTCTGAATTTCTCAATTTTAGCCGGTTTTTTTTTTATGTACACCTGCCCCGGTCTCCCCTATCTCATCAGCCGTGCCTAGAGACAATTTGCAGAAATGGCTCTGTGTATGAAATTCCACGGGAAAATATTTTTTATTTATCGCACTTTTGTCCTCTCGACTAAAACCTCGCGTTGTCACCAGTGTACACCTGTTTTATTCCTCCACCAGATATTTTTGACAAATAATTCTGGAACGAGTGGAGATTGAAAAAAAAAGTAGAAGACAAAAATATTCGTCATTTGATAACGCACATATTAGGTCTATAAACAATTTTTCATAATTACACGCGTTAATGAGATAATTACGATTGAACGGAACGCGCAGATGAACTTAACTCATAATCCAGAAAAAAAAAACGTAAATATCTCATTCAGTATTGAAAATTCAGAAAAATGTCAGAAAACCGAATTCAGAGAAAATTTCATGCCGAATATTTTTTGTTTCACTACTTTTTCTCTAACTCCTTTAGTTTCGCGATTAAATCCTCAGGAGTGATACGGAAAAGCGAAGTCTTAAAAAATGCAAAATGAAAAATAGAGAAGTTTATAAATAAATAAGAATAATTGTTTCATCGGGCGATGAAAGCGACTGAAGGATGTGACTTTATAATCAGAGCGAAAGGATGAGTTAATAATTGGGTCAGAATATCTGTGACGTACTTCCCAGAGAAAAATCATCCCGGAATACTCTTTCACAAAAATATCTCGCCAGTAGTTCCACGTCATAAATATTCAGTGACACAATGACCTCAACCATCAATTCCTTTTTATCGGGGGAATTTATCCGTAATTTTCCCATCGATTTCCCCTCTCAGAATTCGCAATATTCGTAGGAATATTTTTAATAAAAATATCTTGCAATAAAATCTGCAAACAATATATTTTAGTTATTGAAAATTTAAAAAATGACACCTATCATTATCGGCCGATAAAAATCGTAGCAATATTGACAATAAAAATGAATTATTTTAATGATTTTTCATTTTGTGATTGCTGTTTAACGAATAAACAATAAATAATGCCACGCCGTAAATACCTCAAATATCTTGATAAAATAATCGTCCGTCCTGATATAAATAATTATCGTGCAGTTGCGTCTCTACAGTATTCAGAAGATGTCTCAAGTGTTTATTGTTAAATATTTATTGAAACAACACATAACAAATTTGGTAACCCATATTAATAATGTAATGTCTCCTATTATATTGTTCAACACCTGTTTTGTCTTGACTCGAAAACACGCATCACATTGAGACGATATCACAATTGATAAAAATTGCAAAAAACAAATTTTTTGATTAATAACTAATAATTTTGCAAATCTACATGCGTTGTTGTGACCCATGTTCTAATCATCTCCCAACAGTTTTGTACATATGTTTTTGTATATATGTGTGGCGCGAAAGTGTTGACCCGTACGTAATTATCCTTTTATTTATCGGTCATAGAATAATTTATCTCCCATTTTTATTCATCTCTTTTCACTCACTTGACCCAGATCTCACACTCTCCCTGAAAAACTAAAATATATAAACAAAAAGCGATGAATTGGGGCTCGAAAATTTTCGAGATCAATTTTTCATTCGAATTTTGTTAATAACATTGCAATAATTCAAGAATTTCGCTTCTATTATTGTGGAATAGTAAGACAACGGACTTTGCATTCTTCTAATTTTTTAATAAACAAATTAGGAATTTTTTAATGGGACGGGAATGGGCGATTAGAAGATAATCAATCACCAGAGCGGTTGAGTGGATATTATTTTTTTGTTTATTTTCTTTTTGAATCAATAAACATTAATCACGGCTAACGACTGGAGATCGAATCAGGTCCAGTCTAGGTGGTCGCAGATGGTGTGTGGAGATAAAAAGGGATAACCTTATCCCGATCGTTGCTACCCAGTGAAAGTCTAGGAAAATATCGGATTAATTTCGAAGGCCGAGGGGTACTCCGAAGACTATTTTTATCTCGATTTTAATCTACTTGATGTACACCATTGGGGTCTTATTACATCTTCTGCAAAAGAAAATCTCATTTCCGATTAAAAATATCACTCCATCTTATTTCTAGATTTATCCAATTATAAAAATTTAATAAACTATTTAATAAATTTCCACTTTAATTACAATTACGCGCCACTGAAACCAAAAAATCGTTTTGAATTCGTTCATTTTATCAGGGACTTCCCCTTTATTTGGTGGGAATTTTTTTTTTCCATTTGAATTTATTAAAAATAAATATGAATAAATTCTATTCGAATTTATTAAAAATAATTAAAAATAAATTCTATTTGAATTTATTATAAAACTATTGAATTTTAAAATAGAAAATTAAAAAAAACGGCAACCAATCGTTCTTCAAATTTTTGTTCTTCTCCTTCCAACCGGAAGTCTTGTAATCGTCAGTATTTAATTCCCCACTTTTTTTTGCCAGGTTAATATGGTCCAATGTATATATGTATGTATGTACGTGTGTATGTACGAATGTGCGTATGTATCTATTGATTTCTGTGGTCTTTTCCATTTTTTTTCATCATCAAAATTTCTTCACCGGGAATTAATAGAATTTCATAAATTTTTTATGGATGTACTCTATACGCTCCATCGATTGACAATCCATTTCTGATATCATCATAATTGGTATTAATATCACCCCGATATTACCGGAATTAAACTGTCCGTTATTTAACTACAGAATTTTTATTCCCAACTTTTATCAATTTTATCATTTTCATTTGTCAAACAGAGAATTAATTTTTTTTATCACTAAACAAATTATCGTTAACGCCAATTAAATCGGGTATTGGAAAATTTATTTCAATTATCTCAATTATCTCAATTATGAAACCATAATGTCATTTTTTTATAGGATTTTATTTGTTTTTTATTTACTAGTCCAATTGCTCGAAATCAGAATTGAGAAAATTGTTAATAACAAAGAATTCCGTGAAATTCCTCCAGTAAAAATCGGTACATCGAGAAAATGAATAATAATCAGTGGAGTTTATCCAAGGACACGTCCCACATTATCATCCTAATCATAATTACCTGGAAATTACTCAATCGGAGAAATAATTCTGGTCAAAAATCCAACAGTCATTCTTTCACCAAAATTGGTTTCTCTTCTCTCAATCTAAATTCAGAGATCTGCAGATTATGTCAAACCCAGAATATATTAATATTCATTCATCATTCCGGCTAACACATGACCAATCACAGGTTAAACCCCGATTAAATCCCGACTAAACACCACTTCTCGACAGCCCTCGATTAGAAAAATCAAAAAACCGTAAAATTCCCCGTAACTTCCAATTAAAACCAACAACAACCAGAAAAAAAAATACTGAGTATTCAATATCTCGATAAATTAAACAAAATGTCATTGATTTTATAAAAAAATCGAGGCAATTATCCATAAAATCCAAAAGGATTCATTGAAATATTAAAATCTGCATGAACCTCTCAACAAAATATTCAAATCCAATTGAATAAATTCAAGTCAAGAGTTCTCAAAATGACAATAATAGGAATGATAAATAATTAATTAGTTAACCTAGAAATTTATCCTGAATAATTTCTTACATAAATAACGACTCGGTTGAGAAAGATAAAAATTTTTAACTGGGATCTGTTTTCTCCGTGCTGCTCGGTCAGTGTGTTCTGGAATCACTTCAATACAAGGTAAGAAAATGGCCGATAATACGGTGGTAATGAGTGCAAAGGAGCTCGTAGTTTTTTTTCATTGAAATAAACAAAATAAAAATGTCGAGGGTTTTTTTTTTTCATTTATTCCTGTATTTTATTTCGTGACATCAAGTCGCTTACCGCATCGTTTATTCCATTTTCCTGCATTTGAAATCTATTTAAATTTCTTGTGAAATTGGAATAGTAAGAAGTATGTGTGCGTATCTGTGTTTGTTAATGTGTGAGAAATAAATTGACACAATTTTGATCTCTCGTTATTTTTCGTTGCTTTCCACTTTGTGTGCAGCATTACTCTGGGTCTATCGTCATTTTTATTCAATTTATTGACAATTTGTTGTCATTTTTTTGTTTTTACTATTTTAATAATCATTCATCGTAATGACGATAATTTGAGTCTTGCTCGTTTTACGTGTCGTCGGATCATTGTTTAAACACTTGATCGTTGCATGGTTTAGTTTATTTATAATTCCTATGTTGTTTCGTGATATTATATGTTCAGCTTTATATATACTTTGTGTTTATGTATATAATGTCGGTAATTCATGATCGTCTTGGAGAAGACACTCAACAATGTTAGAAAAAAAAATGAAATTTCATGAACTATTTATTTCAAGGACAATTGCACTGAATGCTAATTACGTTTTGAGTCAAGGAATTTCAGATTTCACGGAAAATTTACATACACATGATAATTCATTAATTTAATTAATTTTACAATCCGATATCAACATTTGGTGTCAAATTACATTGAATTTTTTATTGAATTGAAAATTTTATTTGCTTTTTTCGCCTACATCGCATTCAGTGCCGCTGTCAGTGAAATTTATGAATGTATTTACCAGAAGTTTTGATTTTCCGTTCATTTCCGAGGGAAATCTGAATTTTTCGCGCCAAAATGTTCTGAAATTTCAATGAAACTGCGACGCGGTAAAATTACCGGGTGTCGTCTCAAAAAAAAAAACAGACGACATTTTTTAACAGTGAAGAAAAGTTGACTCAAACATTCTTTAATAATTACAATCTCCATTATTAATTATTGAAATAATAATTAATTAATTCTGTAGCAAAGTGGTAAACTAGGATAAATACATTTTATTCAACTCAATTTCCCCCAATATCTCGAAATTGAAGAAAGATAGCGATTTTTTGATAATTACCTTTTTTATAGCTCTCACCTTTACCTATAAAAAGTGTTCACATAAAAAATTCACTATGTGCATTCGTTTCCGAGATATTGTCAAAAAATTGTCATCGAAAAAAAATGCATCATGTTAATTCACCACTTGATTACTGAATTATCAAAATAAATTTCAATATTCATAGTTGTTTTGTTTTTTAAAAAATTTTCTAATTAGGTTTCGTTAATTTGGTAGTTATTGCGCACATCGAGACTGTAGTATTATTTAATAATAATAAATGAAGAGTAATTGAGATATTTAATGAATTGTCATTCTGATAGTCGATCAGCGGTGGTACGTGGACGGGTGGTAACATCACTTGGAACTGGTTTGATGGGTGTGCGAGTCAGTACCAGCACACCACTCGAAGGTTTCACCCTAACAAGGGACGATGGCTGGTTCGATCTCCTCGTAAATGGTGGTGGTGCTGTCACACTTCAATTTGGAAGATCGCCATTCAAACCACAGACCCACATAGTGTTCGTACCATGGAACGAGGTAATTCAATCAGCCTCAACCGAAAGAGAAGACTTCAATTTTTAAAAACACCTGGAAATCCCTTTTATTTTTTCTATTTCAACTCCCGCATGATCATAGCAACGATTTCCGGCTTGAATAGATCTATTTCTTTGATTGATATCGATTGATTAACGCGGGGATTCGTTTGAAAATTGATTTTCTTGTCCCGAGTGATTCTTCAACTTTTCTTTTCTCACCTGTCAACGCAATCCGGAAAATTATACTTTCAATTTCAAGGAGAAGAGGAATTTTCAATCAGGAAGTGATATAAAATTAATTAATTAATTAGTATCATTAATTAGTCTTTATGGCCCTAAAAAAAAATATGAAAACGGTGAAATTCGTTTTTGGAAAACTCAATTCTATTAAATCTTGCAGATGCACTTGAAAATGAGTTCCTATTTTTAATTAAAATTGTCCTCAAATTCCTCTAATTAAACATTCAAACGACTTTCTGCCTGAAATTATAAGAAATTTTCCACTGTGCAATATTTTTCTTCTGATTCCCCACGTCCCAAATTGATGTAATTATCCTTTGTGAATTGAATTAGTTGCATTCTGTCTTCTAGGTTGTTATAATTGACAGGATCGTAATGAGTACCGTGGATGAGAAGCCCCCAATCCATGTACCTCACGCCTGCTCAGCGCATGATTACGATTTAATGAAGCCAGTAGTCCTAGCCACCTGGAAGCACGGCTTCCAAGGGGCTTGTCCCGAAAAATCGGCGATTCTCGCCGAATCCCAGGTAGTCCAGGAAAGCCT